TGTGAGTTCGAGGCCAGCCTGGTCTCCAAAGCGAGTTCCAGGAAAGGCGCAAAGCTACACAGAGAAACCCTGTCTCGAAAAACCAAAAACTAGCAGTTGAAAGAAAGCCTGTATCACTGCCACATGGTTAAGATTGAATCACTGGGCGGCACGCACGCCTTTAATCCCAGTACTTGGGAGGCAGAGGCAGGCGGATCTCTGTGAGTTTGAGGCCAACCTGGTCTCAACCTATAGAACTTGTTTCAGGATGGCCAAGGCTACATGAAGAAACCTTGTCTTAAGCCCCTCCCCCCAAAAAGATTGAATCTCTCTGTGGGCTCGTCTCTGACTTCCCATTTACCCCTGTAATCTCAGAAGCCTACCCCTAAATCTATCCATCCCTCCATTTTCTTTATCACTCACCTACATGGCTGTATCCTTACATAACATACCTTATGTAATATACTAAGCAAATCTTCATGGTCTGACTCTAAGTAGAACCTTCAGGATGCTATTCTTTATCCCAATTATTTAGACCAAAAGTGTTTCCTATTTTGGTGTTTGAGATAGTTGCATTATCCATAACAAGGAGTTTTGTAGAAGGAGGGTAAGGCTTAAAATCTAACTATATTAACTGATATCTCATATATACCTAATACACGACTTGAGAGTAATTAAATATTTATTATTTGCTATTACTTTTCGTGTGAGCATGATGTGTATGGCCGAGGTCATAGGACAACTCCGTGGAGTTACTTCTCTCCCTCCACTCTGGGGACCAAACGCAGGTCTCCAGGTTTGCACTGTGAGTGGCTTTACCTGCCGAGCCCTCCTGCAAAGCCCTATACACTATCTTAAATAACCCGCGCCTAAAACAGAGCTGGGCGGCATGGATTTTCCACTGGTGCCATCGTGACAGAGCTCGCAATTTCAGGTTTCAGAGCGGTTTGGATTTCAGATTTCTGGGTTAGGGATGCCCACCCTTTATTTAATCCCTTTGACAGGTTCTTTTCATACTTCTGGTTATGACTATTTCCATGTGAATAAGGGGTGAAGCTCAGACACGCGCTGGTTAAGTTATGTGACATGTGAGATACTTATAAATATCTTCGCTCCTGCGCTTCCTCTGCCACTTTGTATTTCTTTTTCATAGAGCAGAGGAAAATGAAGCGGCTTTTTTATTCCACAAGGGACCTTGGAAACAGTCACCTGTGACTTCCCAACAGTGTTAGAGCAGGGCTCAGGGAACACTGGGTGTATTTGCTCAGAATCACCTTTATCACGGGCACTTAAGAAGCAGATGTTTGAAAAGGCTCTCCTGAGTATGGAAAGAGTTTGTTTTGTTCCTTAAACTCTAAGAAGTCACTGTGAAATTAAATGTAATACCGTTCTGATGCCAAGATTGGCTGTGCTTTCTTGCTATTATCAAAGTCGATTTTGGCATCCCTAGCCCGTACAATTATTAATTAGGTGACATGTCGACTTACCCACTTTCAATTTTCATGGCATTCTTGAGGGTCACTTTGGGTTTTTCTGTTTCAGGCCAAAAGAGTTTGGCCACAGCCAGGGATGCCGGCGCCGACATGACCGAGGCGGTTAGCAAGTGTGTGGCTGACACCTGTGGTGGAGAGGAAGAGGTTGATCTTGGGCCAGAGAACAGTGTTTCCTAGGAGGTCTGGAAGAACAGCCATTCCCAGTGTGCCCCATCCTACTGGAGCAGAGGACAAGACAGGAATTCATGTCACCTGACACCTCCTTGGGAAAAGCACGAAACTTAAATCTGATTATTTGAGATGAGAACTAATCCTGCATTGTAAGAATTTTCAAAGACTTCTCAACTCCTTTGCTATCTCTGAACATTCAGCTGGCCCTACAGTCCATATTCTGTCACATTTCCAGTTCAGATGGGGGTGTGCGAGGCGGAAGGACGTGGAGAAAGGACAGAGATGGACAGTGCCTACTCTTCCTGCCTCTTCTCTCTTACACATCATTAACTCATCCTCTCTCCCTTTGTTGTGTGAAGTATTTCTCCTTTCCTCATTGTATGTCTAGTCCCTTCTCACCTACTCCACACTAGAATTGTTCTGGATTTTCTCCCCTTCGGCAAGGGCTCATCTTGGTTGTCAACTTGACTTGTGGTGGTTTGAAAGAAAATGGTACCCAAAGGGAGAGGCACTATTAGGGGGCATGGCCTTGTTGGAGGAAGTGTGGCCTTGTTGGAGGAAGTGTGGCCTTGTTGGAGGAAGTGTGGCCTTGTTGGAGGAAGTGTGGCCTTGTTGGAGGAAGTGTGTCACTGTGGAGGCGGGTTTGAGGTTTCATATATGCTCAAGATACTGCCCAGTGTCTCAGACCACTTCCTGTTGCCTACAAGATGTAGGACTCTAAGCTACTTCTCCAGCACCATGTCTGTCTGCACACCACCATGTCCCACCATGATGATAATGGACTAAACCTCTGAAAACATAAGCCACCCCAATGAAATGTTTTTCCTCTATAAGAGCTGTCACTGCCGTGGTGTCTCTTTGCAGCAATAGAAACCCTAACCAAGATACTACATCTAGCATAAACTAAAACCCAGGCCTCAGGCCACTCCTGTGAGTGATTTTCTTGATCAGATTATTCGAAGCAGAATGATTCACACTAACTGTGGACCTCACTTGCAGCCCAGGTGAAAGGACATGGAAGCCAGCTTGGCTTTTTGCCTGCCTGCTCTCACTCTCAATGGCGAGTCCATGTATCTGTTTGCTGTGGCATTCTTCCACTGGTATTACAACCTACTTCATCTGGCTTCCAGTGTAAACCGAAAGACCAGCTGCTTGCCAGGAATCCTCTGCGTCTTCAGGACCAGGTTGGGATAGCTGAGACAGCTGGCTCATGGACTGAACAACTGCTGTGCTCAGGGCCTCTTTAGTGTAAGACGGCCATTGTTGAACTGCCTGGACCATATCCTACAGGCCAGTCTAATAGATCATATCTACATATGTACACACACACACACACACACACTCACACACACACACACACTTCATTCTGTCAGCTCGGTTCCTTTAGAGAATCCTGACTATATTTTCAGAGTCCCAGAAACAGTGTCTCCCCCACTCCCATTACCATTACACCCAGCTCATTGATGAAGACAGCGTTCCTACCTACAGCAGGGGAGGGTAGACCATTTGTGAACTTCATAGATTGCTTATTCTCATAGCAGCCCATGATTTTTTCCCCTTTTCCTACTCCGGGTCTTTGTGAAGATCTGGTATGAAGTTCACATATCTTCTAAGAAATCCTGATGCACACTGCATTGCTAATTTCCCTGCTAGGTTCTGTATCAATGTGGGGCCACAGCATGTGCCAGTCTTAAAAAGTGTCCACCAGCTCTCAGAATTCAAGTTTGCCAAAAAATATTGATGACTAGGTCTCATTCCAAGAAATTCTTCTTTAATTACTCATGGGTGTGTGCCAGAAAATTAGGAACTTTACTAAATTTCCAGGGGACCCTAATGAATCAAGGTTTAAGAACACTGCTCTGCATAAGAAGCCCTTTCTTTCCAAAGGGTCAGGTAAATATATTTGGCTTTGATGGTCAAACTATTCAACCACACAAAACAAAAGAATAGGAGAATCTCGTTTTCAACAAAGCCTTCTAGAAAAATCTAGCAGGATCTATATTTGGCTCATGGGATATGATTTGCTTACCCTTCGTTTAGACCAGGGTTCTTACAACTTCCTAATGCTGTGACCCTTTAATACAGTTCCTCATGTTGTGGTGACCCCCAATCATAAAATTATTTTAAATGCTACTTCATAACTGTAATTTTGCTACTGTTAGGAATTGTAATGTAAACATCTGTGTTTTCCAATGGTCTTAGGTGATCCCTGTGAAAGGATCTTTCACTCCCCCAAAGGGGTCATGACCCACAGGTTGAGATTCACTGGTTTGGACTGTCTTTGTTGATGTCAATAATGGGTTTTGTTATTTCCCCCAGATTGAAATTTTTAGGCAAATAACCTTGTCATATACCATCACTTTGTGTCGTGCAGTGGTGGCAGCGCACACCTTTAATCCCAGCACTCGGGAAGCAGAGGCAGGTGGATCTCTGTGAGTTCGAGGCCAGCCTGGTCTACAGAGTGAGATCCAGGACAGGCACCAAAACTACACAGAGAAACCCTGTCTTGAAAAACCAAATAAAAATAAAATGCTATCACCCTGTTGTGGTTAGGTACAATTGTAGGAAGGTGGCAGGAGTACGACAGCAAAGCCCCCAGTCTCCTTGGGGTCACTGTGTTCAAATGCCAAAGCAACAGTGGCTGCTTTTGTCACGCTAACAAGGGGGATGCTTTCTTGGTGTCATTTTCCAACAGCAACAAGAAAGAAAAGGAAACAATAAATAAAAAGTGAGAGATCGAATTTACTTCAGTTAGTTATATACCAAACATTCTTACCCCAAAAGAGATGTAGGCACCCAATACGCTTCCAGCGATCGTAGCAAAGCCAGCTGTCATAATGGCATGGAGTTCTGACCTGGTGACATGTGGTAAATATGGTTGGACCAGTAGTGGAGATTCTGTCTGGAAACAAATGTTAAATGTTAGCTTTCAGATGTTTAATGTTGTATTCCCTATTGCAGTTGTTAGACTCTTAGATCGTCTCCAGTGTCACCAAGAACTCTGGAAATGCAAGTCCTCCAGCTGGAGTCAGAAGCGCTAAGGTTGCTCCCCCTCCCAACCCAAGTCTGTCCTTTGACAGCTTTCCAGGTGATTCCTGAATATTGGCCAAGTAATTCTACCTAGTAGTCTCCTTACAGAGTGGGGATTTCCAAACCACTGTAACTTTCCATCTTCCAGGTTGATCTTGACAGAATCAAACATGTTTTGTGGAAATAGAGACCATTATGGAAAAAAGAATAGCATCAGGTACCTATAGGTCCCTTCATAACTAAGACTTTGACAGGCCAGGGTGTAGTGGAGCAGGCATGAATCTCATTACAGAGGCAGGCAGCCTGCAATGCAGGGCTCTCCATCAATAACAGCAGTACTTCGGGCATATTAACTATTAAAGTGAGCGCCACAGACACATGCGTCCTGTTTTACAATTTTCTGCTCATTATTTCTAATTGTTCTGTGAGATTGAATGTGTTGGGTCTCAATTTACAGACTACATGGGAACCCAGTATGTGAGACCCTTTACCCCACAGGTACTAGCCATCATCTCAAGACTGCACCTTAATTAGTCCTGAGAGATTTTATGACTATAATTATTATAATTGCAGCTCCCAGGGAAGGAAGCTTTTTACCACCACACACACTAAAGACGGCTTCAGGCTAGTGAGCCAGCCTTACCCAGAAGGCTCAGCCTGCCCTGAGCAGCTGCAAGCCTGGGATTTGGGACTATGTATTTTCTCTGGCATGGTTTTTGCTTCAAGTCCACTTTCTTTGGGCAGTGTTGCTGGCAGCATTGTGGGGTTTCATTTTCCCTGAAGCTATATATCTGGAGCGGTGCAGCTCAGTGGCATTCCTAATCTCTCCATTCCTTACGGTTGCTCCAGTGTTGAAGGATTACAGTTCTTTGTTTTAATGAGCTTCAGGCAAGGGGGTATTTATTCATCTGATGGATTAGGAAAGTGAGAATCATAGCCTTAAAGTTTATCTTTGGGCCGGGTGGTGGTGGTGCATGCCTTTAATCCCAGCATTCAGGAGGCAGAGGCAGGTGGAACTCTGTGAGTTCGAGGCCAGCCTGGTCTCCAAAGCGAGTTCCAGGAAAGGCACAAAGCTACACAGAGAATCCCTGTCTCGAAAAACAAAAACAAACAAACAAACAAACAAACAAATAAAGTTTATCTTTGATGAGAAGAAAAAACCCTGAAAGCATTTTCTGCAGGCTCAGCAAAGGTGAATGGCTGAACATGTCATGGATGAGGCTGGTTTACATGTCAATAAGACTGTTGGTGGCAGCTTTTCTCTGTCTTCTTCACTGCCACAAGCATTGTAGGAAGGACTTGAGGGTCCCTATTTACTATCTACAGCTCAGACAGGGAAATCCATCTGAGGTGAACAGATACTACCCTCTGCAGACTTGACCAAAGGCCTCAATAGATAAAAGATTTGTGGAGAATGTGTACACGAGAAGCCCTATGATTTGATAAAAATAATGGTGTTGTCTCTGAGCTTCTATATCCCTTCCTCTTTCTACACACACACACACACACACACACACGATACTAAGGATTTCTTATTTTATACTCTTCACTCTACCCTAAAGAGGTGATGCATCCATGGGCATCTTTATCTGCTTTGGAAAGAGAGCATCCCTATCAGCAACTGCTTTGCTTTGCTTAGTTTTTGTTATTACAACTTACCTGCCCAACAAATATGTTGCCAGCAGCAACTACAGACTCAATGGGAGATGACCCCATAGTGACAAGCATTAACCATCCAACCTAAAAAGAAGAAAAGGACAAAGTTAGCAAAGAACTATTTATATAGCAAAGACTTAACAGTCAGCTAAAAATTGAATCTGCGTTAAAGTCACTGGGCTCTTTAACGACTAATGGTGGGTTAGTGATGGGCTAAACATGTGTGGAACTCCTCCAGCCACAGAGCCAATCAACCAAGCCTTCCCACTCTAAATCTGCACTACTGTATCTACTTTTGATCACTATAGAAATGGGTTTCTGTAGATCAAATAAAAGTAATGAATAAATAATTGCTACCATTGACAGAAACTTTTTCTGTGGTCCAAGAATGACTATAAGCAGCAGACCTGAGTAACCCATCTATTCCTGGCTCCTTGGAGCAGATGCTGTCGTTCCCTGTATTGCAGAAGAGGGGACACAGGCTCAGGGCAGGTACTCAAGGCCAGCCCACAGGAAATACTAAGATGGGTGTGGCTGAAGATGTTTTCCCTTAATTCAAATGAGCACATTTTTGGGGTTCCTCTTTTGTGATGGCTTCATGGGATAGTTAGATATAGAGAGGCCTCCAAATGTCTACACGTGAAATGTCTGGTACACAGCCACAGTGTTATTAGGAAGTGGTGGCTTTTAAAGGATGGGACCTAAGGGGAGGCCAGAAGCTGTTGGAAGGCGCCCTTGGGGAGATCTGGGGATCCAGTTGGTCTCCCTCTATTTTGCTTTCTAGGCATGAGGCCAGCATTTTGCTCCACCTGACACTCCTTTACCTTTTATTTATGTGTGTGTATGTTTTGTGTGGCTGTAGGCCACATGTGTGCAGATGCCTACAGAGGCCAGAAGAGGAGGTCAGTGGAGCTGATTGTGAGCCCTGGTTGTGAGTGATGGGAGCTGAACTCAGGCAGAGCAGAAAGTGTTCTTACCCACTGTGCTCTCTCTCTAGCTCCCTTGGGTGCTGATAAAGATGAGGACTCAATTGTTGGGGCACAAGAATACGACTAACTTGCTTAAAAGAATTCTATGCTTATAAAACTCTTTCCAGAGCGAAAGCAACTTCTTTTTGTTTCTATTTCTGTACCATCTGCAAGGCCTGGAGGACCTTTGGCAGCCCAGTGGGAAGCCCTGACTATGACAAGGAGAAATAATGCTGCTTCCCTGGCAGGCATCTGCCCTCTGTCCCCTCGCTGCAGAAGTAACTTTTATGGATTCATGGAGATATCCAGTGAGTTGCAAGTCAAAGTCCCTTTGAAGGTTCCTGAGGTAAAATTCTTGATATGGACACATGAAGGATTATGGGCTGGGACTTAAGAACTTAGACGGTGGTAAAGGAGAGTCTTTGTAGAAAGAATGGGATATATGTAAATGCCGGAATAACATGTGTTAGGACTTTGACTGAACTAACTCTACATCAGCCAAGTGTACCCCAGCAAAGTCTGAGTTCAAGAGAGAGAGGTCATTTTCAACAGCCCAGCACCCCAGTACCTTTCTGATGATCCATTGCATCAGCCCCACATAGTAGAGCACAGACATCACGGTGCTGAAGAAAACCACGATTGGCAGGACCTGGGGGGGGGGATGGGCACAGACGTGGCCACTGGTCAATGCAAAAAGTACCACGAGTTTCCCACTAAGCTTCCCCTCTGCCTCCCTTTTGGCCCTCGAAACATCGTAATAGAAGCAAAGTCCCTCTGAGCTAACGACTGCTTCTATCCAGCGTTTGCCCTCTGGACAGCCTCCAACTCTTTAGTTCTTTATTGAGGTACTTTGGATGTGTCTCCTAAAGTCCATGTGGTGGATATTTAAATATTTCCTAAATTCAATGGTGATATGTCTGGGATGGAGTCTTTGGGAAGTAATTAAGATCAGAGGAAGTTGGGGACTGAGAGGTGGCTCAGTGGTTAAGGACACTTGCTGCTCTTGCAGAGGATACAATTACTACATGGCAATTGCCTATGACTCCAGTCCCATGAGATTTAATGTCTTCTTTTGGCCTCTGTGGGCAATGTATGCATGTGATGCATATACATACATGCAAACAAAACACTCATACCCATTAAATAAAATAAATAAAGAAAAAGATGAGATGAAGTCATTAAAATGGGACACCCATAACAGAAGTAATGGCTCCCTTCTCGGACCCTGCCCTACCTCGCCCTTCCCCCACAATCCATAGCTAACTGGTCAGAGGCAAGATGCTGGGAAAGGGCCTGGAGAGATGGCTCAGAGGTTAAGAGCATTGACTGTTCTTCCAGAGGTCCTGAGTTAATTCCCAGCACCACATGATGGCTCACAATAATCTATAAAGAGATTTGGTGCCCTCTTCTGGCCTGCAAGCAGACAGAATGCTGTATATGTAATAAATAAAATAAATCTTAAAAAAAAGAAGATGCCCAAAAAATCTGTACAAGACCTAATTTAGAAAAATCTATTAATAATACCCCTAAAAACACATTTTGTCTCAGCATTAGTGTTCTTTTCACTTTAATAAGCAGGCAGAGAAAAGGTGTCTGGAGTTACCTTAAATGCGAAGAAGTGGTCTGTATACTTCTCACCGAAGACAAACATAGCTCCAGTATCAGTGTACCCCAGGAAAGTCTGAGTCCAAGAGAGAGAGAGGTCATTACAAACCATGAACCAGTACTACGAGCCACAGACGAACCTGAGGCCCTGCAGAGGATAGCTGGGCCAGCACACTCATTAAGCAGACTTGGGAAGTCAATATTCTCAGCATTGATGCTCTAGTGAGTGCTATGAATTCCTTCTTTTGAATCATCCCTACATGTAGACTTCCTGCCATTTCTGACACTTAGTCTGACTTGCATGGACTGTGGTCATGAGCTCCAATAAGCCATGGGTGCTGTATGAGGGTGACTCTAGTTACCACTAGATGCAGAGAAAGGCTCTTTCTCTGTTTTGGGGAACTGTCTCAGAAGTTTGGCACCCCTTGGGGGATGATGGGGCGGTAGGGGTCAGGGTGTGGCCAATGGATGACACAGGTGGGGGCGCAGCAGGCTCAATCAACTACACAGGTGAACATGTGATACAAGCAGCAGCCTAACCTGTGCTATGGAATTACAGTTAGGGCACAATATTACAGATGAATTACCTACTTAAAAAAGTCCTGAGGGCCACACTTCCCAAACGTTAAATGTAAATGTACAAGTACAAGTGTTTTTTTTTTTTTTTTTTTTTTTTTTTTGACAAAGTCTCATGAGGCTCAGGTTGGCTTCTCACTTGCCTTGTAGCAAAGGCTGGTTTTGAACTCCTGACCTCCTGTTCCAGATCACTCAGCTCTCTTTTGAACTGCTCACCTGAACTTGTTTTCCCAGGAAATCAAAAGTAATAAATCCAGGCTTAGTCCTTAGAATTAAGAGCCCAAGAAGAAACTGTAATCCAATTCCCCAAAAGACAGGCCTCCAGTAAACCTGTGGAGAAAGATGGAGACCGTTAAATATCGTGCTAACTTCAACATTGTGATGAGGCTTGCATGAACAACCAAAATTGGGCATACAGAGCTTTCAGAAATGGCAGCAGACACATTTTGGTCATAGTTATCTTATTAGGAAGTTAATGATGACCTCAACATAGACGTCCAAGAGGCCACTGTTCCCTTAGGAACATTCTCATATGTGACATGTGGCTGGGGAGGCCAAGCAGCCAGAAGCAGAGGATTGTTTTCTAATTGATTAAATTTGCTCTTTGACAATTTCATACATGTATATAATCACGCCGATTACTCTCACTCCCTAGCCTTGCCTGTCTCTCTCCCAGCCCTGTCTATCCTGCTCATCCTTACAAATCTCTTTCTCACATTCCTATTTGCTTTGTTTCATAACTCACTCAGTTTAAACAGGGTTGTCGGTGTGACCATGGATTTGGAGCGATCCATGGGGTCTGGTGGGTTCAGCAGTGGGTGGCACAACTGAACACAATGACCTCACCTCTCCTGGAATTTATCAGTAGCCTATAGTAATGGGACTGATGATTTTAATCATAAATATGACACACATAGAACTATCTGGGAAGAGTCTCAATGAAGGATTGTCCAGATTAGGTTGACTATGGCTGTATTTGTTAGGGATTATCTTTATTATATTAATTGAAGTGGGAAGATTTGCCTACTGTGGGTGGCACCATTCCCTACACAGTCTCTTCTGAGTAAGGATGGAGAAGGGAGCTGAGTTCAGGCATGAATGCATTGATTTATTGCTCTCCGCTCTTGACTGTGAATAATATGACTAGCTGCTTCATGAAGTTCCCGCCATTTTAATTTTCCCACAATGATGGATTATAACCTGGAATTGTGAACAAAATAAACCTTTTCTTTCTGAAGTTGATTTTGTTGGGGTACTTGTCAAAGCAACAAGAAATGAAACTAAGACAGGCCCCACAGAAGTAAATTCAATGCAGTGATTGTGTTGTGTCCAGGATGACATTTCAAAGCCCTTCTTTCTTTCTCTGGATCGCCCATTCTTCTTGCACCCTTTTCCGGTGTTCTCTGAGCCTCAGAGGGGATGTTATAGAGGTCTTATTTAGAGCTGGGCTCTCAGCCACCACTCATTCTTAGCACCACCGGCAGCTGCAAGTCTGCATTCACCCACCACTCACTACAAAGAGAGACCTCAGAGAATGTTTAGATAGAGAGACATTCTGTAATATATATCAGGGCTGTATCCACTCTTTATAAACCTTGGTGCAAAATCTGAAAAAGTATGTAATTATGAAGTCCTGATAAATGACTTGGGCACAGAGAATCGTCTCTGAGACACCTGGTCAAATTGTAAATGTTACATGTACAACTATTTCTCCATTTGGAAAATGGAAAGGTAGAAATTGATTTTTCTGTGTTCAAAGCTTGTTTATCTGACAATTTATAAGTGAATTAGATGAAATTTGGCCCGAGTAAGGGACTCTTGTTCCATAATAAAGGAAGCAATGACCTCTAATGCAGACCTAGGATGACAGAGGAAATGGACTGTCATCTACGTTTATCTCGTAGCAGAAACGAGTGACCTAAAAACTTGGGATTGATGGCACAGAGAATGGAGATATTCACCTGAGCAGGGCAAATAATTTTCCTTGTATTAGGTCAACTTGTTCTCTGATTAATGCTTTTTCCGTGGGTCATCCTTTTAGCCAGAAAGGACTTCTACAGCTTGTCATGGTGCAGGCAAAAGATTTTAGTCCCAGAATTCATACCCATTTCATGGGCTGAAGGCTGATATATATATATATATATATGGAAGGGGAGTGAGAATTGGATACAACAGGGGAAGAGTGTATCAGGACAAATTTTGAGAATGAAAAAGCCCAAATCATAAACAGAATTTTCATAAAATACAGGATTGAATTTTATGAGAGACATAGCTCAGTTGCTGGAGGACTTAGTTAGCATGCGCAAAGCCTTAGGTTCAATCCCCAGTCCCCTATAAACTGGGCATTATGGCACCTGCTTTGAATTCCAATACTGAGGAAGCAGGAGGATCAGAAGTTCAAGGTCATCCTTGAGAGAGTTTGAGGCTAGCCTGGGATATACAAGTTCCCATCTCAAAACTAAAAAGTACAGGACTGAGTATAAAATGGGCCAAAGGGAATGAGTTTTCCTGTGTGTTTGACAGGAAAGGAACCTGAGTGGACACGAGGAGTATTTTACTTGTATAACTGGAAATTACTAGAAATAAAACAGTCAGACAAGCACCCTTGCCACCTTAAGGACTCACATGGGGGTGGGGGAGAAAAAAATTTTCATAGTTAGATTCTTTCCCATTCATTATTTTGGAGTCTCATGCATCCCCTCTTCCCATGACCAGTTTGTACTTACTCTGGTTGGATGTTTGGAAAATAGAAATAACAGCACAATGTACATTATGAGTCCACCAAAGGATACCAGATGCTGTTTGCCCAATTTGGCAGTGTCGAGGATCAACCAGAAAATAACCGCCAGGATCAATGAGCTCCACATCACCCTGCGAGAATGGAAGGAAGGAGCTGCTGTCCTTTATTGTGACAACCTGAGCAACATGATGAGGCTTACACTAACAAGTGAAAGCTGACGATGAGGTAACACACTCCAGACCGGAAGCTGTGCTTTCAGTCAGTCGTGGCTATAGTCACATGCGTCCCTCTTACCTTCCAGCGCAGACCCTCATAAGTTCAAAGATGAGCATCAGAGAGGAGAATGGCTGTTTGTACAGGAGTGTCTGGTCTCTGTTTAAAGGTCTTTGAGAGACATGATAGTCTCCCTCTGTCCTTTTTGGGATGGGTATTGCCTTCCTTCCTTCATGAAAGAACATGTTTTCTGTATTTGGGGGACCTCGGCAGAGCTGAGTCAGACTGTGCGTCCTGTCTTCCCTCATGAGAGTCTGGTGGACATGACAGGTGACTCATGACTCTGAAGGCAATAAGGAGTATGTGGCGAATGCACTGTCCTGGTGAACTAGATGAAGGTGGGTGATGTGTCCAGAGTGGCCCACGCGGTTCTCAATGGAGAGAACCAGCTCTGTGAACTGCCCAGCAGGGCCATCTCTAAGGAGAGGAGAGAACCAGCCCTGTGAACTGCCCAGCAGGGCCATCTCTAAGGAGAGGAGATCCCATGGCAAAAAGTCAAAGAAAAGCCCTGGGGGTCATTGTGGAATGTGGGTCCCTTTAAGGGGGAGTTAGGTCCTGAGGAGCCAGACCCATTCCTAGAGCAGGAAGCCCCTCCCTGAGTCAGAGCTATCCATGTCCTCATCTTGGCACTGGCTGTGAGGCAAGCCTAGAATCAGGACATGGGGAGAGAGAAAAGATGGGGCGTTTGTCTGAGTCTTCTCTAGCCAGGGATGGAAGGAACATCCCAAACTGAAATCTTTACATTTTTGTACAACATAGAAGATAGATATTTCCCACTAAATAAAATGGGATGAGGGAAATAAAAATGTCATAATTTTAGTACATAGCTGACACAGAAACTGGTGTGCTAGACCTTCAGCATCAAGTGGATTTTTAGAGATCTAGGTTTTTTTGTTTGTTTTTGATTTTTTTTTTTGATACAGGGTTTCCCTGTGTAGACCTGACTGTCCTGGAACTCACTTTGTAGATCAGGCTGGCCTTGAACTCAGAGATCTGCCTGCCTCTGCTGGGATTAAAGGTGTATGCCAACACTGCCCAGCAAGATCTAGTTTTTAAGGAGCAAAAGACATAGAAATAAATGAGAGGAATTGAAAACCTAATCTAAAAATTACTGAATTCAGTAGCCAATAAATAAATGCAAATAATGGGATACCAGTTGGTCCAACTTAGTATATAAAAATATTGTGTATCTTCATTGTGCATTGAAAACACACACACACACACACACAACCCCAAACAAAACCCTGAGTTATCATCTCATCTTGGTCTTCATTTCCTGTTTGAAAACTATGGATAAATAAACTAATAATAATAATAAATAATAAGTGGAATAAAGCATATTCAAGATAGAATCTAATCTATGATTTCTATTTTGTAGAAGAATTTAACAATATTATGCATAATTATACAAAAGGGAAAAGGTTAGAAAAAATGCAAGATCACATTGTCATCAGTCTTTACTGTTTTGTACTTATAAACCAATCTAAAATCAGCACTGAAACCAGACGGCATTGTGCAGCTGTTCTCTGACCTGGGGCAAGACAGACATTACTGATTGATCATGATCTCATTCTACTGACAAGGTGGAAAGAGAGCTCATGCCATCCCTGTGTGACTAGAACATTGCATTGTCCTATGTTCTTGGCTAATTCTTAATATGTAGATACCTAGGTATCTCTCTAATACAGACATGAAGATAAGCAAATTGTCTTTGGATATTTACCATTGAACCAAGGGGCTTGGTAGTACACTTGAATAACTTCCCCATAATCCATTATCTCAGCCTGGTCTTCATTTCTTGCTTGTCAAATGGAGGCACTATAACTGATTGCCTAGCATCAGTTATTTCTAGCATCAATATCCCATAAATGAGGATGGAATTTTAGAATACATTTTTGGAAGAGTGTTGGAGAGAGCCAACATACCTCCACTGCAGTAGGAGAAAAAGTGATATTTACCATTTCAACCAGAACCAATGTCTGTTGAGAAGCCTTCTGCCTGGAGACAAGAACTCTTCAATTCGCTGCTCATATTTGGCCATCAAGTGATCCCAGATAACAAAGAAGATGGTAACCACGGTGATAACAAAAAGAGGAAGGGCTCTGTGGAAGTTCAGTACACAGGCTGCAATCAACAAAGCCAGGAAACCTGTCCAGGAGGCAAATCCAGACGGTGAGTGTTACCAAACCAGCGGTCCTGGGCTTCCCACCTGGGTCCTTCCCCTGGGCAAGGGGAGGCTTAAGTATCTACTGAATACTTTAGTGTGGATACAGTCTTGTTAGCTGAGCCCTGTGCTTTTCTTTCAAGCAAGTCCCTAAGATTTCACCATGTTGGAGAAAGGATGCTGTTTTTGTTTTTGTTTTCCTCTTACAGCACCTTCTTAGTTTTTGAATCCTGACACTTAGTCACTACTGCTGCATTTAAAGAACAGGTTCCAGGATAAGAATACCAGGTGTGGTAGTGCACACCTTTAATCCCAGCACTTGGGAGACAGAGATAGGTGGATCTCTCTGAGTGCAAGGCTAGCCTGGTCTACATAATAAGTTCTAGGACTCCAAGGGTTATACAGTGAGACCTTGCCTCAAAAAAATAAAATAAAGTTTCTTATCCTAAAAAGTCAGCAAACAATGGCCCACAGGTTAAGTCTGACTTGCTCCTAGGGAGGTGGCAAGATCAGTGGCATTTGCTGTGTGTACTTGTACCCTCCAATCAAGCAGTATTGCTCCACAGCTGTGCCTTTCTATTCACATATTATCTGCGGCTGAAGGTCCAATATGGCCAGACCTAAAAAGGCTCTCTGCCCTGCCAGAGGAAAGATGGTTAACCCTTGCTATTCCTGTTCCAGCTGTTTGAACACCAACACAACTCTTGGCTTTGGAGGTGTAGCATTCTTTACAAATGCCTATGGGCTTAGTGTGAAGGTTCACATTTTATAGACAAAGTTTTTTTTTTTACAATGAGCTTTGAAGACTTTTGTTTAGGGAAGACAAAAATCAGGGTACATTTTCATGTGCCTGTAGGATAAATGCCCTGGGTCTTACTTTGTATTCACTCCTACAATTACTTTTTGTTCTTGTTTAACCTGGTGTTCATTGCAAAGTCTGCCAGTTGCCCAGGTATTCTGGATTTGCATTAGCCAATGCACTTCCTCAAAAGCATGTCACAATAACAAGGGCTTTGTGAGTCCCAGGAATAAGGTAGTACTATGGTTTGAATGTATCCCCCCAAAGTCTGTGTGTTGGAAACTTGATCCCCACATTAATATAGTGATAGTAGCAGAGGTGGGGCTTTGAGGAGGTAATTGGAATTGGATGGATCCTAAGGGCGGAGCCTCCATGATGTTACTAGTGGCTTTAAAAAGAGCAATAGAGACATGGGTCAATATTTGTTATCCCATGCTGCAAAGCCCCCTCCATGTTACAATGGAGTAGAAGGCCCTCACCAGTGCTGGCACCATAATCCCGGACTGTGTTCCACAACCTGGAGAACTCTGTGACTGAGCCTACAGTATTCAATTACAGCAAAGAAAGTGGACTAAGACAGTAGGAGACTCAAAAACAAAACTTCTGGCTGGCTTCATGAACAAGGTAGGCAATCGATCTGTGTAGGCACTCCCTCCTGGGGCTTGTCGATCGACTTCACCACTTCTCTGGATAAGTCTGTGAGGTCCAGCAGAAGGAGCGATTTCTTTCTTTACACAGAAAGCTAACACTTAAAAGATTCCAAGAAAAGACAACAACATTCCCACAGCTCTTTGGTATTTACCAGTCAATAAAATGCCCCCAATGATGCGCCGAAGAATGATTCTGTGCTTTCTACAAATCTCACAAATCATATCATACTTTCTTTCCAAACACCTGCAACATAAAAGCAAAAGACCCACAGAGTAAACACCCAAACAGAAGATATCTGGCATTTGAAGCCTGGGCTAGGTTTCGTAAGCAACACAAACAGGTTTCTGAAGTCATGTCTCAAAGATGAAATGGAACATTCGTCTTTGACAGACACTGGCCATAAGGTGGATTAACGACTGAATGAGTGTGCCAAGCTTGGAGGGAGAGAACAGAATGGGGATGGATAACTGTTATATACCACCAGGTATACAACCAATTAACCAAAGGAAGGGCAGGGCTTCTGACTGGAAGACACACAATGACACCATCACTGTAGGAAATGTTCGTGGTTAGGAGTGTATGTGAAAACTTGTGCTGAGATTCCAAAATACCACTCTAGAAGATGTTAGGTGAATTGAAGTGTCGGGGTCTAGTTCAGGAAAAGCCAATAATGCGTTACCCCCTCAGTGGAGGAGATAGTGTTTTGTTTGTTTTTAAAGTAGCAACAGTACAGAGCTACTTTAAATAGACCCTCTGTCCGCTGCACATTGACTTTACCAGATCTTTTAAAAGCAGAGAATGTGTGTAATTCATTGCAGCCATCGACCCTGTGAAGCAAAGTCACTGGCGTAGACACCAGCTTCATTCGGCCGTCTAGGATGAAATTCTCAACCCACTGGTGATTGCTTCAGTGCCGTGAAAACTGGTGAAACCCGAGGACACGTGACTCCTCAAGAGACTTTCGCAGGCCCCTGGATCAGAGCCTCATGAAGTAAATGAAGGATGAAACTTGACAAATGTCCTTGACAGTGTACATACATCAAGAGCTCTCAGCCTCAATTCTAAGTGGTGTGAGACACGTTATTCTGAGGCATAAGAATAACAGTTCTTCTGGAGCTGGAGATGCGCTGTGGTGAGGAGTGCACACTACTCCTGAGGAGGACCCGGGATTCCCAGCACCCAAATAGTGGCTCACAGCCATCTATAGTGCCAGCTCCAGGGGATCCAATGGCCTCTTCTGGCCTCCACTGGCACCAGGTACATACATAGTATGTGCAGGTAAAACACACATACACTAAAAATAGAGAAATCTTTAAAAAGTTCTTTAGCAATTTAAACAAAATTTTACATAGGAATTTAGAAAATGGACCCATGTAATATGACACAGTATCAGCCTGAAGTTCTGGACTGTTTGCTCTCAAATGGACTGACCTTTGGTAGGTCACTTCTTCAAGTTTCATTATGCTAACCCAAAACCAAGATAATAATACTGCCTCAGCCAGGTACGGTGGCTCACACCCATAACCCTACCATTGGAGAGCAGGCAAGAGGGATGGTAAGGGCAAATTCAAGGTCACACCCGATGTCTCTCCTGACTTAGGAGATTATAAAAACTTGAACTAATGCAAGGCTACAAGATAAGAAAGGCGACAGTTTAATTTTTGTCACTGTGTTTGTTTTATGTGTGTATTTGGACATGTGTGTGCACAGAACAGATGGGGAAATCTGGCAACGCTCAGCAATTGGTTCTCTCTTTCCAGCAGGTAGGTCCTGGGGGTTACCTGGGGGTTGCCGCCAGGGCACCAGGCTTGGCAGCAGGTACCTTTACCACCAGCCATTGCCCCGGACTAGTTCCCTGAGATTTAATGTAGGCTTTGAGAAATCAATTGCTATTGATTGCTATGGAGAAGATGAATTGACTCTTTATGTAGGGATTGGAGCCATTAGTTAGTAATTTATACCTTTAATGAGAAGACTGTCCTGGGTGAATGTGAAAATAAATACTGGTTCCTAGAACAACATCTTTTCAAACTGACCACATCTATCACCCCCAAAGGCCATTAATTTTTTTCCAAGTAGTGCTGGATGGGTGAGGCTCGAGGTGGTGACAATTTCTAATGAGGCATAGTAAAATTTAATTTAGAATAGAATAAAGCAAAATGACAAAACATGGAATAAAACACACAGCGGGTAGATGTGGTGATGTCTCTGGCTTAAGAACGGTACCCTTTTTGATGCTCATCTTGGTCATCATCCTCCACGTCTTCTTTGTTTCCTAGAGACTCCTGCTCAATCGTGATCTTCCTGTCACCCTGGAGATCAAACATTGGAGAGAAAGAATAATGAGAATCTGGGCACCATGGACTCTGGACTCCTTTGCTCAGCATTCAAACAAAGAATGTTCAACAATCCTTTTAAAATTATCATACAGGAAATGGCTCCCCTTATCTACTGCATGGGCATTTTTTCCCTTTTATAATCAGAAGAAATTCAGGATCACACTTACTTCCTCTTCCCTCCCAGAGGAGCCTCTGGTACCCACCCCCCACCACCACCTTTTTCATTTTTTAAAAGCGAACATGTTTGCATTTCTGATCTTGTTCTCGTTTCTGCTGTAATCATTCGACACCAGACACCAGCTCTGGTTTTGGAAAGGGGTAAAGGAAGTTAACAACAAAGGCTGTGTAATTCTCCCTTTACATTGAACCAGCTCATTTCCAGAGTACTGAAACCAAACCAAGGCTTGGCTTGCAGATATGAACACCTGCCTCCTCCTTTAAGAGACTCCCCTCAGGACTCACAAAGGCATTGCCCTTGCCCTAATGACTTAAATGTAACATGCACCTGAGCCACTTTCCGTGAACAGTTTTTCTGGGAACAGTATGAGCTTTCTCCAAATATCCATGACCTATCTATCCTTCCCCCAGAACAGCTCCCTCTGTCCATCCCACAATAATTCTTCAGGTGCCGGGGAGCGTTCAGGTGCGGATCGGCTCCGGCTGCGCACTGGCAGATGTGATGCTTCTGCTCCCTGCTGCTCGCAGAGTGGCCTTTATCCTCTGCACTTAAAACACAGAGCTAGACACACTTCTGACCAGAAAGACACCACAGGTCACACAGCACGTCGAGGACTCTCCCCGCTTCTGCCTCCTGTCAGCTTTGTTTCTGGAGTGCTCCTCAAGAACTAGGAAGGCATGGGCCACAGGAAGAGTCCAACCAACTTCCAGATGCTACAGTCGGCCATTTATGTCTTCTTTTAAAAACAGACTTACCTATTTTTATTTTATTTTATTTTATCAATGTTCTGCCCATATGTGTATGCACCACATACATGTAGTGCCCGCAGAGGCCAAAAGAGAGTGTCAGAGCCAGGCGGTAATGGTGCATGTGAGAGGCAGAGCCAGGTGGATCTCTGTGAGTTCGAGGCCAGCCTGGTCTACAGGGTGAGATCCAGGAAAGGCACCAAAACTACACAGAGAAATCCTGTCTCGAAAAACCAAAATAAAATAAAAAAAAAAAAGAGGGTGTCAATCCTATGGGGCTGCAGTTACAGATGGTTGTGAGCTGCCATGTGGGTGCTGGAGGTGGCAGCCAGGTCCTCAGCAGAGCACCCAGTGCTCTTAACTGCTGAGCCATCTCTCCAGTCCCTTATCCATTTATTCCTACCTGACATCTAGCTTGGCCAACTTTAGCAAATATTTGATTTAAATGGTTATGATGTTCTGTTGTTAACGTGTCCCAAGCTGCCTGCCACCTATGGGATGCTTCTGTTTAATTTACCATGGACACCAAATCTATCCTGAGCCTCCATCATCACAGGTTCAATCTATCCTGAGCCTCCATCATCACGGGTTCAATCTATCCTGAGCCTCCATCATCACGGGTTCAATCTATCCTGAACCTCCATCATCACGGGTTCAATCTATCCTGAGCCTCCATCATCACGGGTTCAATCTATCCTGAACCTCCATCATCACGGGTTCAAATCTATCCCGAACCTCCATCATCATGGGTTATCTCCCACTTCCCGTCACTGCTGGAATTTGTGTGTTTCTTCCTGCCACCATCTGCTCACACCCGCTCCCTGATGGGTCCACTGTGTGCACAGATGTGTGCACACCTACCCAGTGGCTTCCTTTAACTTCACCCAATGCTTGTTGCCACCAAACCAGCTGCTACTCAGCCTGTGCATTCCTGCTTATAGTTATGAAGTATGGAAGTTTTGCTCTGTTCTTGTGTGAAACAACGAAAAAATAGACTTTAGAGCAATTGCAGCTTCACAGAGAAGTAAGCTGTAAATATGGAGACTTCCATAGATCCTCACACGGTCCTTTCCCCTGCGAACAGCCTGCGCCAGAGAGGTCCATTTGTTACCACAGATGAACCTGCTGCACTGGTGACCACACAGTCCCATAGTTTACCATCAGGGTTGTCACGCCTATTATCGTTTGTCAATTGACTACATCTGGAGACTCAAGTGGCGGGTATACCTATGAGGGGTTTTCCTTAATTAAATCTTTTGAAGTGAGAAGACCCACATTTAATCTGGCCATACCTTCTGCTGGCAGCCTTTGTAAAGGACATGGGAGAAGGAAGCTTTTGCTGTTTGCCTGCTCTCTCTCTCTCTCTCTCTCTCTCTCTCTCTCTCTCTCTCTCAAGTCTGTTCCTTCACTGACGTTAGAGCCTCCTTCTTTAGGATTCCAGTGTGTAGTGGAGACCAGGTTGAGACCTCCAACCTCATGGACTGAACAACTACTGGATTCTGGGACCTTCCATTGTTAGCCATTGTTGGACTAGCTGGACCACAGCCTGTAAGCCATTCTAATACCTAATACCCCCCCACTATATATATATATATAGTGGGGGGGTATTAGGTATTATATATAAAATGTATATATATATATATATACATTTTGTAAGTTTTTTCCTGTAGAGAACCCCGGCTTATACAAGGGTCATTTCTGGAGCACTCAGTCTATGGATAAATGGTTAACAGTGGATCTTCACTGTTGTAGTGTACAGGATGGTTTCAGTGCCCTAAAATTCCTGCTGCTCACCCTCACCTTCTCCCTAAGCCCTGGAAACCAATATCTCTTCACTCCTCTATGGTTTTTCCTTTACCAGGATGATGTTTCTGGGGTGGCATGGGGTGTCCCCATTGTAAACTGGCTTCCCTCACTGTGATATGCATGGACAGCCCTTCTAGTTCTTCTCAGCCCTTCATCATTTGTTTCTAGTGTTGAAAAACATCGCATTATCTGGACAAACCACGGTTCATCAGTTTTACTGACGGGTATCTGGGCTGCTTCCAAGGTTTGCCAATTATGAATAACAAAAGCTGCTGTAAGCATCTGTGTGGTGGTTTTCATGTGGACTAGCTTGTTTGCTGGGGGACACTTAGTGACACTGACACTGTATGGAATGAGATAAGTGGTAAGTAAGAGGGAATGTGATCCCAGTATCCACATGCCCAAGAGTCTGTTTGCGTAAACATAGGCTACGTTCCAAGACATACCAAGACACTCCCCTCGGGTAAAATGACAACTTGCGTCATTTTGCTGCAACAATTTTTCCCAGTTTTTGGTACTCAGGACTAGTTTTCAATGGATGATCTACATGAGTAACTACTCACTTTTCCCCTCCAGCAACTGAAGAAATTCTACCTAAATCTAATTACCCAGAGTTCCTTGCCAGATGTGGTGTCCATGCCTGTCATCCCACACTTGGGATGCTGAAGCCAGAGGATCAGGAGTTCAAGGTCACCCTATGTGGCATATTGAACTTGAATCTAGCTTGGGTCACTTGAGGCCCTCTCCTCCCCTCCCCTCCCCCCCCAAAAAAAATTAAAAACAAAACAACAATAATAAAATGAAAACAATAAACAAAGGCTGTGTAAACTGAAGTCCTGTAAGGGACTCTCCGGCTCGATGGAACCGAGCCACCCCCCCACCCCACCCACCCAGTAGCCGGGCTACAAGGCTGCTCATCCATGCTGGCCTATGCCTGGGCTTTTGGCCTTGGGCTGGTTTCCCTTTTGGGGAACTCTGAGGCTGTCTGTAAAAGCAGAGTCTTGTTGTTAGGATATGTGTGCTTCCTAGCTGACTCTGCCTTAGACACACTAACCACACTTCCTTCACAGGCGGCAGAGGATCGCCATAGCAACAGTTCCTTACCCACCCTCCACACCTGTCCTACCTGCTTGGTGTTTCCTTCTTCCCCATTCTGTACAACTCTGCTCCTGACTGTGCCGTTTCCTGGTGTCTCCTGCTCTTCCAAGTCTTCGTCCTAAGAAAAAAGCAAAGTGAAAAGATATGGAGTCAGAGCCCAAACACAAGTGTCCTTCAGTGAAGATTCCAGGAAGGATTGTGAGAAGTGGCAGGAGGCCAGCTTCAGGGTTCAGATGAGGCACCTGATTCAGGGAACTGCCAGGGAATTGTGGGCTCATAAGGAAACAGATGAGTTTTGCTTTATTTTGCTCTGATGGGAAAGATCCACATGCTGCACACTGAAGAAGGACAGACAGCTTCCCACCTTTGGCTCTGACTGCAGAGTCAGTACCAGGGGACTTGGGTGGGGACCTAACGTTTCAGCAGGGCAAGTGAATCACCCAGCTGAGGGACCACCCCTCAGGGAGGCAGCTCCACCTTTAAGCCATGCGCAAGCGATAGGAGAAATGATTATCCCTTTCCTTCCCAGAATTCCTGGCCCTAGTGTGGACATGGGCATGAGCTCCAACTCTGGAGCTTCCTAAATTGGAGTAGTTCCGAGAGGCAAGCGCTTCCTTTTCTTTCCATCTCTTTTCTGGCCACAATTTCTCTAAAGTTTCCTTCTCTTTAGGAAGGAACATCTTGCTCACATGTTGCTCACCTCCATGCCTGTTTAACTCAGCGGGCACGGCCTCTTCTTTCTCTCTTCTGGGTAGAAGTTCCATGCCCCCGGGCTTCAATTTTAAACTCTAATAAAACTGTCCTTGTGTGTCTGTTCTTAAATAGTCTTCCTTCCTTCCTTCTTCTTCCCTCCTTCCCTCTCTCCTTCCTTTCTCCCTCTCTCCTCCCTCCCTCCTTCCTTCCTTCCTTCTTCCTTCTTTGTGGCCCTGGCTGTCCTGGAACTTGCTATGTAGACCAGGCTGACCTTGAACTCACAGAGATTCTCCTGTCTCTTGAGCACCCGGATCAAAGGTGTGTGTTACCACTCCCACCTTTAAATTCTTGTAAGGAGACTAAGACTCCAAGCGGGTGCCGCAATCTGCCTGTAACATGTGGCATCTCTGGTGGGTCTCTCAGGAATTCCTGGTGATGGTATGGGAGGAAATGCAGTGTATGTATACAAAGAATGGGAAGAGGACAGAACAGTGGCCATTGCACTGAGGGCCCTCTGGGCTCTTTACTATTCTGCATTCATGGATTCTTACATGTTCCTTAACATTTAAGTTGAAAACAACAGGTTCCAGGATTACACGTGTGAATAAAATCAGGGTCCCTAATTAAAGATGCAGTAAGTAGAGGATTGAGGGGAAAACTTCAGCACCGGCCTGAACCTGAACCCTGAGACCAAGGGCAGAGTACTCCCTCAGCACACTAACTCTCCCCTGGACCTTGGGGCTTTTATTTGTAACTGTGTGTGACACTCCGCAGACCATATCGTTCTAAACCTCAGTTGTTTGTCCACACAACAGCATTTTCTTTCTGGCTCTTTCCAGAAACCTGAGATTTTTCTCCCTGGATGAGCTTCAGCCTTTTGATGCTGACCATGCCTGCCACCTGCTGGCAGCGTCTGAAATCTTTGCTGAGGGACTCAGACTGTGGGTTTAAATCGATGATCACGAAAAGTGCATGTGATCGTGTGTATGTGTGTGTGTGTGTGTGTGTGTGTGTGTGTGTGTGTGTGTGTGTGTGTGCAGCTTTGCACACTCACAGAGAGAACCCCAAATGGGTTTTACCTTGTGTTCTGGGATTGCTCTGTCCAATGGACTCACTCCTTGGTCTTTATATTTCCAGGAAGACAAGGGCCTCCCACTCAAGGATTTAGAACAGAAGTAAGGGTTATTGTGGGTGTGGGTGGGTGAGTGGAAAATGACCAGCTTCTCTCTAAGTTGGAACTGTGGGTCTATGACAGAGGCATCTATCACTTATTAGCCACCATTTCTTTCTGTCTATTTAATAAGTCAGATTACTGACACCTTTGATTCTCATACCTATAAGCACTACCTTCTTAGGTAGAACCTCCAGGACACTGACAGGAGGAATCACATATATGTTTCAAAGCAATGGAACAGGGGCTGAAAACATGCATGCATACATGTAAATAAAACTTAAAACATATTTAAGATATTGAAGATTAATATCTTATCAAATATATTTAATGAGATATTAAACTGTATTTCTGATAGAACATATTATACATCTCCATTAACAGTTGCGCTGGCTGGTTTTGTGGTCAACTTGACACAAGCTGGAGTCATCAGAGAGGAAGGAGCCTCAGCTGAGGAAATGCCTCCATGAGATCCAGCTGTAAGGCATTTTCTCATTTAGTGATCAGTGGGAGAGTCCAGTCCATGGTGGGTGGTGCCATCCCTGGGCTGGAGGTCCTGGGTTCTATAAGAAAGCAGACTGAGCAAGTGATGGAGATCAAGCCAGTGAGCAGCGCCTGTCCATGGCCTCGGTCGGCATCAGCTCCTGTCTCCAGGTTCCTGCTCTGTTTGAGTTCCTGTCCTGACTCCCTTCAGTGCTGAACAGTGATGTAGAAGTGTAAGCCAAATAAACCTCTTCCTCCCCAGGTTGCTTTTTAGTTACAGTGTTTCATTGCAGCAATAGAAACTCTAACTAGGGTAACAGTTAAAAAGGTACAAGGACAATAACACTCCAGGCAATAAAACCCAAGGTCCAGGGGGAGAGTGTATTGAGGGAATGCTCTGTCCTTGGTCTTAGTGAATGAGCTGTGCTCCCCTCAGGCCCAAGTTGAAGTCTTCCCCTCCTACCCTGGGGAGACAAAGACAGGTGGATCTCTGTGAGTTTGAGGCGAGCCTGGTCTACGTAGTGAGTTCCAGGACAGCCAGGATTACATAGTTAGATCCTGTTTCTAAAATTTATTTATTATTCATGAGTGCTTTGCTTCATGTATGTATGTGCATCATGTATGTGTGCAATGCTCATGGGGGCCAGAAGAGGGCGTCAGATCCGTGGAGCTGGAGGTTCTGGGAGCTGAATGGTCCCTCTGCAAGAGCAGTCAGGGCTCTTAACCTCTGAGCCGTGTCTGCAGCCCCCAAGAAGCAGTGAGCAGATTCATCTGTGAGCATGGGAGCACTTTCATTTTATTTGTACACGGTGGGAAATCTCAGTTTTGCCTCTGGAGCTGTCCGCACTATAGTCTGGAAAGTGAGTTAGTGTGAGAAGCGTAAGCGTGTCTGGGAGCAGAGGCTTCAGCCCTGTGGCCATTTAGCTTCTTAAGCAGTAAGTGAACAGTTTGAACATTCTTCTTAGCTGTCTAAAGTCCTACTTCATGGTTTCTCTCACAGGGTTTTGCTTTTCCCCACTGGAATTCACGAGTCCTGGTCTTATTTCCATGAAGTGCACGGCTTCCAGCACCAGGATGCTGCTGTGTAGTGTCCACTAGGGGGCTCCACTCCACCAGAGCTGTTGGGACGGTGACTCCTACACTCCACCCTGACTCCAGCAGGCTCTGCCAGTGGGACCAGCTTAGGAATTAACATGCGGAAGTGCTGGGCAGCCAGACAGGCACCAGTAGATTCGGTCCTCACCAGCGGCTTTGTGTTCCACCTCCCAGGCACAATACGAAAAGATGGAGTTTTCAGGGGAAGCTAGCTCCTGGTTTCTGGTCAAAAGAATGGAACCCTGGGGCCAGAGAGGTGGCTCAGTACTCAAGAACACTGGCTGCTCTTGCAGAGGACCTGGGTTCAGTTCCCAGCATCCACATGGTCAAGCATCTATAAGTCCAGTTCCAGGGGATCTGACACCCACTTCTGGCCTTCATTGGCACCAGGCATGCACATGTGTGCACAGACATACAGTAAGGCAAACATTCATACGAATAAAATAAAATTAAACCATTTGTGTGTGTGTGTGTGTGTGTGTGTGTGTGTGTGTGTGTGTGTTTTGAGACAGGTTTCTCTAGGTAGCGCTGGCTGTCTTGGAACTTGCTCTGTAGACCAGGCTAGCCTCCAACTCATAGAGATCTACCTGCCTCTGTCTCCTGAGTGCTGGGATTAAAAGTGTGTATCACCACACTGGGCTTTTTCTTTTCTTTTTTCTTTTTTATTAAAAATGTATTTTTAAAAAGGAATCTAAGTCCTACCTCTGGCCTTGGTGGAGAACAACATTCTGCTGCCCTAAAAGTGAGAACATTCTATGTATGTATGAGGGCCATTCTATGGCCCTCTCCCTTAAGAGCTGACCCAGCTGGATCTGCCAATCCCCTTGCTAGAGCACCCCAGCGATCTATTTGAAAACTGTATTGAGTTATGACTGTGTTTGCTTTGTGGCTGTAAAAACTTTATGAAACTTATCACATTGGAACACAGAGTTTGGGGTAACCTCAATCTGTGTTCCTAGGTTATTTGGCTCCAGAAGAAACAACCTCTTCCCCCTTTTTTGGTGAGAACTATTTTTTTCCTTTTTATCAATCTGAACTATTTCAACTGCCACTGCCATGAAAAACAAATACAAATAAGTATTGGAGAACATGGTAACTGCAAGAAACTAAAGACACATAACCAAGTCATTTGTGGTGTCAACTTGATGGGACGTGGCGTCACCTAGGAGACAAGCTTCCAGGCACACCTGTGTGGTATCAATCAGGTTGACTGAGGTGGAAAGACCCACACCAACCCAGGGCAGCCCCATTCCCTGTGCTTGGCTCCTGGACTGAGGAGAAAGTGAGCCGAGCACCAGCATCCGTATTCCCGATGGTGGGTGTCATGTGACCATCTGCTTCAAGCGCCTGCTGCCTCTATGTCCCTGCCATAGATCGTAAACTCTGAGCCAGAGGAACCCTTGTCTCCCCTAAACTGCTTTCTTCGTTTGTTAGTTTTTGTTTGGTTTTGAGACAGGGTCTCCGTGTAGCTCTGGCTGTCCTGGAACTCACTGTGTAGACCAGGCTGACCTCGAACGCAGCCTCCGCCTTCCCTGCAGGGATTAAAGGCGTGTTCCACCGATGGGCCTAAACTGCTTTTGTCAGAGTAGTTTATCATAGTGACAGGAAAAGGAATTAGTGTAAAAGATATCTGGGGACACTTGAGAAACAGAACCGCAAACAACCCACTGGGTGTT